ATACTTTCAGAAATAAAGGAAAATACAGACTAGTCTTATACTTGGCATTACTAGAATTTCTTAACAGCTTTTTGTAGTATTTAAATTTTAATTTGAGATCTCCAATGGAAAATTTCTTTGTTTCTTCAGCTTCTGTCCAATCATCTTGACTAACATAACATTTTTTTCCTCATGGTATGGTATTGAAAAAACATTTTAAGAAATCATTTTGTCACAGAGTATCCAATATCAAATTCTCCATGTCTGAAAGCAGAACAAAAAGAAGTGGGTATTTACTATTGATTTATACTGAAAACCACAAACCATGATGGCTCTAGACACACTGCCTTAGAGAAAAGGTCAGTCAATTGTACATTTCTATGCATCCTGAAACTGATAATACAAGAGGACAGAAGAAACTGATAGGAAGTAAAAAATTAGAAGATATTTTATTTATCAGCATGCAGTTGTGAGGGTATGAATTAAATATAGGAAAAAAAAAAAGAACTAGAATTTTAGAAGGATTTAGCTCTCTATCTTTTTTTAAATTCTGCTGTGTATATAAAATAAGAGAGACAAAAACTATAGTTCTTGAAAGAATTCGTAGTGGCTAACTCTGTCAAAAGCAAGTAAGAACAAGGGGAAAAACTTTCATTCAATTCATAATTCCTAAAATGTTTTCTTCTGTTTGCAGCAGAATTTCTATCCAAAAATTTCCCGTAAGGACCTTTAAATTTTGCTATCTTGAAATTTAGTAAAGCTGTACAAAAATAAATATTAAAATGAACAGGTAGACAAACAGCTTTGCAGCAAGAAAATGGTAGGGTAAAGTGGCAGAAAGGATGTCTGAAAATTAAAGGTATCTTAATATTCACCTGCACTGGGCTTCTCAAGGTTAGAGACTACTTAATGGGGAAGAGAATGATTGTTTATTTTTCTTAGTTTTATGTAGTTTTCACTAAACCATTTTTTTTCTTACATTATTTTAGAAGACAGATGAAACTGAAAGGAGATACTATGACTGATATTTATTACTGCACTGTCACAGCCTCCTGTGAATTTTGATTCATCCTCAGTGTGTGTGCTTTGAGATCTCAAAGAGATCAGTTTTAGGGGGAGAGGGACACAAATAGTGTCTGTAGTCCTTCCTTGTATAGCAGTGTGATCAAAATTTGGATTAAAGCCAAGGGTATATAAAATGATATTTAAAGGAAGCAAACGGGAAATTCTCCAGTCATTGCTTTACTGTCACACCCTAAAGAAGTAAAGATATTCAGTTGTTACATTGACTAGTTGCTGCATTATCTCTTCAGTACTCAAGGAAGTTCAATGACAAATGACAGGAAAATCAATAGAGTGCTGTACAATTGCTTTTTTGTAGAGAGAGGAAGTCATATTTGTTTTTCTAAAACAGTCGGGAGCTATGTTAAAAATAAATAATCTTGACGTTTGAGATAATTTTTAAATTACCCTGCATGCATAGGTCTGTTTAGCAATCTCTGATGACTTAAATTGGTTCCTTTTTATTATGGAATCTATGCCTCACTCATTACATAGGATAAAGTCAAGTCTGTGGCTGAAACAAGGTTATACAGGACAGGGGCATCCCATCCTTCCTAACATAAGATGGCAGGAAGTAGAGTGGAAAAAAAATCTGGAAATAGAGAAAACTGCTCTGGCAGAGAGAAGTGATTTGCTGATTTGGACACTCTAATGCCCCAGGTCAAATCACTTCTGTCACTGTCTGTTTTATGAAATTTCCTTGTAATCTGAGCAAGTCTAATGAGTTTTTTTTTGCCAGCCTGCTCAAAAGTACATTCTTTCATCATATTGGAGAATTTGGAGTATTTTAAGAATAAATATTTTGAAGACTGTATGTCCTCTGACCTATCAGAACATAAGCATCTTAAATTGAATAACTAATGCTAGTTGCAGTAATGTCTCTATGCTCCAGTGATTATAACACCACCACCTCACACCAAAGGGGACAGACAAAATCAATACCGATTATTCAGAAAATATATGTTAGCAAATACCAAAAGCTTACAAGAAGTTAATAATTCTGTTCTAATAGCAGGTCATAATTAGTATGGCTTTAAAAAATAAAATTAAATTTTAACCAGTTGCATAGTCTGTGCTAATTCTGTAAACATCACTAATTTGTTAGGAAGGTAGTTTTCCAAGAAAAATTATATTATGTTATATACAGTATAATAAAAACATAATAATATATCTATAACATGTATTTCATATTTAATTAAAACTGAAACAAAAATTTGTAACAAATAAGTGGAATTTATGTATCATAGGGAGACTTGGTTCAGGTGGTTTGATGTCAATATAAAAATTGAAGTGTTCCATAGAAGTATACACCAAAATGTCAGTGAAGTCACTGGGAAAGAAGCAATTATATTGATCTTATACAACAACAACACTACATAATTGGGACAGCATTGTGCAGTACTGTCTGTCTTTAACTACCTTGGAATCTGTAATTTGAGTCTTTGTCTTATCACAAGTGTAATTTGTGAATTAATGTGCTGCATGTTTTATTCTGATAACTTAATCCATTTTACAGATTATAGTAGTTTGAAGACAAAAGAAGCAGTTTTGCTGGATTGATTCTCAGAAAGTTTAAGTCAAGACTTATTCATAATGTTTCCAACTACTTGTATAGCAAAAGAACAAAAAGTTAGTCTATTTCTGCTGAAATAAAGGAAATAGTAAATGCTGAGCCTCTGTATCTCATTGCAGTACTACATTTGTGGTTGGTTTCATCCTGAAATTCAGAAAAAACTGATGTGGTTTTGCTAAAATGAAGGGGGAAAAGGAGTAGGCCAGGACAGTGTAGTCAGAATTAAGTTTGCCTTATTTATGGAGAAATTTTATTTTGACTTCACGGTAGGATCTTACATGAATAAGGCAAGATTGAGTTCAGAGTTGAAATAAATAAGGGTTTCCAGTCAATTAATTTTGGGCAGATTAATGCATTATAGGGCTAATGGCAGACTCCCAAAATGTCCTGTGATCCACAGTGTTACATCACTCGGTGTGAAACTCCTTGCCCCAGGAAGGTACCTCAGCAAATATAAACCTGCACGAATAAAAACCCAATAGATTTGGTGTTCCAAGGATTTCTCCCTCCACTTCTTTGGACCTTCCCACACCACCCAATGGATCTGGTCTGTGACCACCACCTCAACCAAGATTGCACAAGTCTCGCTACCAGACCTATAGGTGGTGACTGATCACACTCTTTCCCTTGTGCATGCCCTTGGGTTATGTTTTGCTTTTATATTGTTGTTGCTATAGATAAAAATAACCAAAATGGCTACATACCTGTTTTCCTTGCAACCAAGTTGTTCTATAATAAACCCTAGTAACAAGAACCTGTGTTACCCTCACCTTCTGTGGGGTGGTCATTAACAACTTACCTGTTTTAATTCTGAGTAATTATTTAAAGAAGATACATTTGAAGTGATATTTTATGAAGAATTAGCAAATAAATTTCTGTGTTGTGAAAGAGGCCAAAACAATTTATAAAACTTACACAAATGTCACTTCAGTCCAGAAACCCAAAATTTGGATCTTTTTGAAGTTTTTCACAGGTCTGTGATGTATAGAATATTGTATATAGAGCACTGTATTCAGAAAGTGAGAGTGGGCTTAAGAGTTACTTGAGAAGGGATAAACTAATATTGTAGCAGTGATTAGTAGGATCACTTTATTTCTTATCTAATTTGATTATTTCCTGAAAAAACAAACAAGAGAGCCCAAGGAAAGGTAAAACAATGCAATTGTTTACTTGTGTTTTCTTATGACACTTTCAGGGCAGACTGGCTTTGTTCAAAGCCAAGTGCTTTCTTTATAAAAAGGCATTTTCTTATGGGCAGAAAACATATTTGGTACTAAAAGCCAAAACTAAATGCCAAACAAGTATGTGTCAAATACACATCCAGGATTTTTTATTATTTTTAAATATCCCAGTTCCAAGTTCAAATGTGTCTTTCATATCATAGTCCTTTGACTCTGGAGAATACCCCTGAACAGCTTTGATTACTGTTAAGACTGATGGAATAAAAGCACAAGGCCATTTTCAGTAAGGTCACATCCTGCATATTTTTAAAATATCACTTTTTTTCTGAATGTTTAAGACCATTTTCAGACAAACACTCTAAAAACGGCTGGGTTTCTACATAGAAACCTCTTTTGTATCTTCTCTGATCCTTATCATCTTCTTCAAAGGCATTCCCAGGAGAAGGTTGAATCTTTGCAGTTATAGCACGCAATTGCTAATTCTTTAACTGCCATTAAAGAGAGTGTTTCCATATGTGCTCTTTCTCCAGTACCGTCAATCTTTTTTTTTCCCCTAAGTGAGTATGGCATTGCACACCATCCCTTTTTTAGATATACAGAGAAGGAAAAAAAAAGTTCTGTAGCACCTAATGGTTTCTGGTCCAGGGCACTCAGCAGAAGTGTGTTGCAGCACATGCCACAGTCAAGATGGCCACAATATACGGAATATCATCATGCAATTCCAGAAGCATCCATCCAAGACTTTGCTGAACATAGCAAAGGACCAGCCTGTCCTTACACAGTCCCTGGAAAGGTCTCAATACTGTGAAAATTTGTTTAAGGTTTAGCATTTCTTAATTAACTGGCTTTGTTTGTCTGTTTTAATTCACATTTTGATTTTATCCACATTTTAATATGTGTGACTGGCTGTCCCAGAAAATGAAAACAGAACATTTGGATGATGCAACTATAAATACTCTTTTGGATCAGTTAAAGCTGAAGAAGGAAAGTAATTTTTCTATGCTTATATACAAAAATTTTGCTGACACCTTTCACTCTGTGAGCCATTCACAGATGATATCTTGATGATTCTGGACTGCTGCATGTCACTGTCTGCAATACTAGGCAGCTCTAGGCACAGGAAAAGAAAGTCCTTGTCTAGGGTATCATAAGGCTGAGAGGCAAAGTGCCACACTGCCGCAGGGCTGCCCTGCCTGTGATTGCATCCAGGAGAGGAACCAGTTCTCTTTGAAGTGATGCTACAGCAGTGGGTACAAGAGATAGTACAAGCTGCTATCAGTTGGAATTATTTGCTTCTGCTCACTTTCTCCACTTACTTGCCTTCCCACCCCATCTTTGCTCTTCATCCCTTCCCTTGTAGTCTACTTCTAGCTTCTCATTTGAGGGAAAAAAAAGTCTATTTGTCTATGCATCTGAATATCCTTGAGCTGTTTTTGTTCATGACTGCAAATCTCATTGATTTAACTTCTAATTGTTTTTGGAGCATGCTTATTTACAGATCAAGCTTTGTTCAGGTTGAATTGCTGCAATGAAGTTACTGGTAGAATGGAAATAACTTCGAGCAACTTTCTAATTTCTTTACTAAGTAAGAAACTGCTATTGATTGCATGTAATAGCATGCAATTTCCTTTTCATGTTCACAGCATCTGTGCATATTTTTCTTCTACAGCTCGAGTGGATGAAATAAATTTCAATGGTCAGTGAAATAATATTTTCTTAATATTTTATATATATATATATTTTAACAAATATATATAATGTATAGTTCATTTTCATTTTGTTGAGAAAATTCTCTGTCATCTAACCTCTCTCTGTCCAGGTGTTCCGTGCTTTGACATAATACTGGTAAAGAGGACTGAGATCTGTTTTTAAGTTGTAGTTTTAGCACTTCTGTTTCACTTACAAAGAAAATTAAAGAAATTTTAAAAAATCAACGAATTTTTTCAATAAAGAAAATATGTACTCTCAAAGAAATTTATTAAAAGTACATATTTTCTGATCTTAACAAAATTTTATAGGATTACTGCTGAGAGAAAAGTATTTTCATTACTTGAAAAACTGTTTTGGAACTTCAGTTTTATTACAGAATCGTATGCTCTATCCAAGAAGAATATTCATGCATATGTAAATAGATTTTACAGTCATAACCATGAAGGGTATCTTACAGTATTAAAAAAAACCCAGTTCCTTTTTCTAGAATACATGACCAAGTTTCTCATAAAAATCAAATGGAAATAAAAGGTAAAATGATTGACCAATGAGAAGAATTTTATAGAAGTAAAATAGTGCTTTATTCTGTTACATCGAATGTGTTTGTACTTAGTAAAATACAAGTTTTCCCATTTACAGGAAATTTTCAAGGCTTCAGAATGTTTTGTTCTCTGCATAAGAAAAAATGACTACGATTTTGAATTTCCATAAATAGAGCTGAAATGAAAAAATGAAACTGTTTGTCTGGAATATTTAAAAGGCTCTTTCTTGCCTCACAAAAGAAAAAAGTTGTTTTTTTTAAAAAAAAAAACAAACCACAGTATACATATGGATTTGTGTAAAAGACTTTAATAAACAATATTTTTCGATTTTTGTCTTTTAAAATTTGAGTCAAGAATTTAATGGAAATAGACTTTCTTCTAAGAAAATTTTATAAACAATAAAGCATTTCTACCATAAGGAGAAGCTGCTAACAGCAGGAACAGATACATAATGCTTGCAAGGATCTCTGTTGTGATTGTGTTAATGTATCTTTTGGCAGATGCACAGAAATCCTTGTACTTGTGCACCTCTTTCTTAGGATAGCCCATTTCTCATCACTGTCTTTTTCTATGTGGCATGTTGTGGAGGATTGCTATTGCAGATCTGAAGAGCCAGAGCAAGATGGACTGGAAAATGAGGAATACACTAAGTAATATTTGATTCCTATTATTCTGCTGGGGAAAATGAATGTTCCAGTGCCCAAATAATTTATGGTTAATTTTCTGATACTGACATTTATTTTTAGTTCTAATAAAAAACCATCTATTTTTTGGTTTGTTTTACTGTTTTATTCCTGTTGAACACTTATCCATAGAACAGTCTTGCGCACAGGGCAAACCGGAAAACAGTGTTCCTGTGATCAGCATAGTTTAAGAAATATTCTGTATTTTCCCAAATGCTCATACAATTATCATTATGGATTCCTAGATTTCTTTTTTCAGTGATTCAGTATTCATGTAATCTAGACTTCTGCTTTTACTTTCTTTTAAAATATGAAATGCATTGAAGTCCAACAGTCAGAGTCTATGGCTTGGTATCTTAAATCTTCTGAATCAGAAGATTTTTTTCATCTGACGGCAAATTTTCTTCCAAGGCTCAATTTAAATCCCTCCTGCATGGTGTAGGCATATTGATACAGGATTGCTAGGTGGAAATTTCAGAGGAATGCCACAAGAAATCAGTGTCACATATCACAGAATCGTGGAATCATTGAGGCTGAAAAACAGACACAGAGTCCAACAATTAACCCATCACTGACGAGTTCACACTAAACCATGTCCACAAGCATGAATCTTTGAAATACCTCTAGGGATAGTGACTAAATCACTTCCCTGTTCTGATGCTATACAATCTTTTCCATTAAGGAATTTTTGCTATTATCCATTCTTAACTTTCTTTAGCACAACTTGAGAACAACTCTTGTAATGTCATTTCTTACTTGGGAGAAGAAACAAACCCTCACTTGCCTACAGTCTTCTTTCAGGTAGTTGTGGACAGCTCCAATAAGAGCTAAACAACCCCAGCTCCCTCAGACACTTCATCGTATTGCTAAGAACATGACTGCTCATCAGCTTTGTTGCCCTTCTCTGGACTAATTCCAATACCTCAATGTCTTTCTTGTTCTCACATTTGTGACTTGCAGTCAGCTGACACCTCTGCAGTTAGCCATACCTGCTGGTAAATGATGGCGACTGGCTTGAGCAATTTCCCCAGCTTCCTCAGTGACCCTGAGTGGATCCTGCCCTGCTGCACAGATTTGTCTGTGTGGAAGTGGTGCAGTAGGTCTCTGACCATTTCCTTTAAATAATTGGGGTTTAATTCTGCTCTCCATTCATCCTCCAACTCAATGGGTTGGGTTCCCTGTGAAAAAACCATTGACTATTAAATTCTGAGACAAAGAAGTTATGAAGTACCTCAGCCTTTTGCTTGTCCATGGTCAATGTTTCTCCCCACATCCAATAAAGAATGGAGAGTCTCCTTAGCTATCTTTTTGCTATTCATGTATTTATAGAAATATTTTTATTATCTTTTACAGAAATAGCCAGCTTAAGATCTAGTTTGGCTTTGGCCCTTTTAATTTTCTTTGTGCACAACCTCACATTACCCTTGTAGTTCTCCTAAATCACTTATCAGCCCCTTTTTTTGAAAGTCCATTAACTCTCCCTGTTGTGTGAAGTTCCAGGCAAAGCTCTGTTCACCCAGGCCAATAGTCTTTTCCAGTGGATAGTTTTTTGGCACATGGGGATGTCTGTGCCTTTAAGATTTACTTCTTTAAGCACATCAAGCCTTCCTGAACCCATTTGCCCTTCAGGGCTCCATATATGCTATAATATGGTCTCTCTGCTCCTTTTGAAAAGAACGAAGTACATATCCAAGGTGATACTTTATTTTGTTTTATTATAATTGCTATAAAGTGCTTTTGTGTGAAATTATTTTCTCTTTGATAATACTATCATAAAAGCTATCTAGACATAAGCATGCAAAACCTGCTACATTTCTAAAACTAGGTTATGAGATCAAAATAAAAGTGAAATCTTATTCTTAAACACTGGCATCAGCTTCATATTCCATAAAATATATCAGAGTCTGGCAACTTGTCTGAAACAGAAAAGTACAATTGAATACTAATGTCTTTTATTTTTCTCCTGAGAATATATTTTCAGACATTGAATATAGTTGTATTTGTGTATATGCAAAGAGCCATATACACTTTTGAAGCTGGACAAGAATGTTATAAAGTAACTTAATTTTTCATTTCTTATCTCTAAGAAAAGAATAATATGATTTTGACTTTTCTGTCTTATAATGAAAGACATGATGGAATTATTGAAATTATAAAGGCAATTTAGCAAAGAAGAACATCTAAAAAAGCAGATTAAATTCTAGGCTATGTCATTCAAGTTATTTCCAGTAGACAAATGGAGCTGTGATTAAATCATGATTGTGCCAGCTTCAGTTGGAATACGTATTATTTTGAGCAAAACAAAATCAACATCTACTGCAAGGGAAATTACTATATTACTAGCACTGGAAAACGTATCAAATTAAAATAAACTGAAAAAATCTTTGGCTTATCTGGCCTTCGTAAAGGAACTTTCCCTTCAAAACCATGAAGGTAAATATCAAGACACCAGAAATTCTAAAGATGTGTATTCGTTATTATAAATACTACCCTCAAGCTAAAAAGAAACAAAAATAAAGTAAATATACTAGCCTGAAAGTTAGGAAAAAAGGGTTCTAACCCCTAGAAGAGTAAAACTTTACCATATCAGTCCAAGAACAGGAGGGAAAATTAGAACTCTCTGCAGTACTTAGCTTCATAAATGTACATTTATATAGCACAGTTTTCTGTCATAATAGGTACCTATGAACAGCAATACAGAAGGACAACTCAATTCTATGCCCTATGTTCCAAATCTGAAACTGCAAAAAAGTGTATCTATTATTGCCTGTTACAGCCCATCAGCTGCAGGTTCATAAAAATATGTCTCTTAGAAGAGACATGCTGTAGTTTGGAATGACAAGTTTTTACTGCAGTCTTGAGCAGTGGGAGTGAATTTAACAGTACTTGAAAGAAATTAGGCATATTTGAAGAAAAGGGAAAGAAATTGATCCAGGATGAAAATCCTTTAAAATCTGTTTGTGTGGTATAAAATTAACACTATGTAGTAAAGAGATTCTCCAGCATTTTTCAAAATCAGCTATACTGATCTGTTCTAGATCAAGTTTTATATTAAATAATTTCAATATACTTTCTAAAACACATTAAGTAAATTATCATACATGAATCGCCCACCCTTTTATCAAAATGAAAATATTGTTAAAGTATGGGTTTTTTTTGTTGAATTTTCTTATGTATTTTTCACGTTTTTCAGGGAGGGGCTTACTTCTTAATACCTTTTGTATTTATTTAATATATTTGTTTTAATAATTTAAAAATCACTCCAGGCTTATACAAACTTTGACTGAAATTCTGCCTTGATGGTGACTCATTAAAAATTCCAGACAGTAATTCATTATTAGATCATTTGATACAACTCAATTATATTTTGATTAAAATATTTTGAAAAAAAAATCTGTTTAGCATCAGATCTGAATAAAAGTCCCTTAGCTGCACAAAACTTTAAAAGAATACAAGATAAGAAAAGAAATTTAAGGGTTTATTTGTTTAAAAATTTTCCTAAAAATTCAAAGGAAGTATATATATTTAAATTAACAAAACTAAAATAGAACCATCACTTAAAGGCAATATCTGAAGAGGAAAATAAAACAAAAAAAAAAATCCTAGGTTTGAGAAGTAGACAGAGAAATAAATGAAGGTATGGATAGATAATGATCAATCTGAGTTGCTGAAACTCAGTCTCATTTCTCTCTGTATGCTAAAGGCAGCTGAAGGAAAGTATAAGCTTTTTCAGTGCACAGTTTGATTTTGCTTCCTTACTT